GTGGGAGTTGGGAAAGTTGTATTCAAATAAAATATTTGGGTATGTCATGCCAAAGGCCTAACCTGTAACCTGAATAGCCTATTGTGTGCTAGTGAATCAACTAGAGGGCAACGCTTAGAGGTTTTACATGGGGAAAAATAGAAAATGTTTATTTCTTAAGTTAAATAGACATTAAAACATTCCAGGAGACAATGAGGGAAATAAAATCAGACAATTAAAATTATATTTACTTGAATAAAAGAGCCCCAACAAGATAAGTACTAAAAGTAAAACAGATAAAACATGTTCACATTAAACTGCACTGAGGCAAATAAAATCAGACAAAATAATACAAATTTAAAAAGAATGAAATACCCAACAATAATACAAGATAAAAACAATATTAATAGCAAAATAGATGAGAAATGATGAAATAAAAGGCTTTTTCCGGAAAGGTTCTGAGAAGTGATTTAAAAGATGTCACTCAGCACTTTCAGTCCCCAGACCTGAGACTCAGGACATAGAACAGTAGCAAGCTCTTGATTGGATGAACATAGCAGATTTAGCTTCTCAGGTGCTTTATTATGGTCTTCTCTGTTAAATTGTCCTTTTATTTGCTTATCAGGACAAAGTAGTCCGTCATCACTGGCTTGATAAAGGCAACAACTGCCCTAGAGGTTCAGGGGCTCCAAGAGCTCCAGGTCTGCTGTGAGTCAGCTTGTTTCTGAAAATGTAGTTGAAAATGTGTGCAGGAATATAGGCTGAACAACGCAACTGACATGATAAGGGCCATAAGGTGGGTCCTGCTTTTATACCTGACCTTGAGTCCTTTGTAGAGGTTCCTCTTGTCAAAATCTAGTTGTGAGCCCTTAATTGTTTTAGTTTTCTGTATATATGATACACATTCCTCAATCAATGTGCTAATGTGGAGCCAGAATTGAGAAATGGTACACATTGCACAGAGAGTTGAAGGATCTTGGAGTTTTATAGGCACCCAGTAGCTAATTTTTACCCTGGGGCCCCCAAACAGTTTAAAGCCATCTATAGCTAACAGAAGTTTGCAGCAACATTAATTTTTTTTAGTTAATCTTGATATAATAAATCATTTCAATTTGTTTCATCTGGAGTAACAGTCTGACTGTATAGAGGTTAATGCTTAAGAGAAGGTTTTTCATTGATCAAAATACGTAATGCAGAACACAAAAGACAGGGGTTAACATACACCACAACACTGGTGCAAAACAATGTAAAATCTGGATATGGAAAGATGTAGTCAGTGTTTGGAAGTGATATCAGGTTCCAGTTCTTTATATTTCGATAAAGATTTGTGCCTTCAAAGCTCTATGTGTTGAGCATCAGAATGTGGACGTGGACGTTTACACGGTCTGAATTGTGATATCACCGTACAAAAAGCCTTTCTAACTTTAACATCATTGATGCATATTGCTCCCCCGCCTCTCTTCATCTGACTCTCTTCCCTGTTCATGTCAGCTATACAGGTCCAGTCACCATCATACATCACACACCACTTGGAGTGATCTACAGTATTATTGAAGTCCATCCCATTCAGCTTTACTGTCTCCACATTGAACACATTATAAGGGATGCTGGTGCTGCAGTTAGAAGGCAGAGGGTCACGCATCTTCCCCCAGCTCTTAACATACAGATTGTGCCCCAAATAGTTTACAATAAGGCCAGAGTAAAGATCTACAACAGAATGGAAAAAACACAACAAAATTAAAAGAAAAACATTAGGGACAACATTTGAGTATATACAATACATTTCATACACATAACAGGAATGAAACTGCAACCAAACAAAAAAACATACAACTTAATTCTGCTCTGTTAAAAAAACCTTTGGTCATCAACCTAATGTGCAAACACTTACCATCCCCAAAACGTGTGTACTTTGCAAAGCTGGAGAAATCACGTCCCTTCATTGAAGTCAGATTCGTCACTCTAGTCCAGGGTGCCCTCTTGGGGTAGCAGCTTCGCTGTGCAACACATCGCAGCTCATTGTGAAAGGTTGTTGGGATGACATAGTCGTATGAATAAGCGTGAATGTATTCAAGTTGCAATCCTGAAGATTTTTTAAGAAGAGAATTATTGCATTATTATCAATTTGGCAAATAACTTAAAACACAGCCAAAAACAAAGTGACAATACAACTTAACATACCTATTTCATTGAATTTATCATAGGAGTAAGTCACACACATAAATGTCTGGGCATTAACGCTTCCACTGCTCGGCCAGAAGTCTTGACTTTGATATCCCGGAAATTGTGGTGTACTGTGTGAGAGCCAAACTCCAGTTTGTTTGTCCAACATCACGACTCCTTTAGGAAGTAAAACAGTAGAAAACAACAGAAACAGAGCTTTGTTACATTATGATATTTCTGACTTTGAATAAAATAATATGGAACATTGCTACACCTACCTTTACTGTGGCCATACGATGCAGAAGCTTTACCGTTTGGAGGTTGGTCATTATAGAGCATGTATCCAAAGCCTTCAGTCTATAATAAAACAACAGGAAACTCTGAATCAGTGTCCTGGATCAAATAACTATGCTCTGGTTTTCGAGTCTTGGGTGATTAGATTGTTCGTCAGTTAACAACAGTGATGGACTGGCAATCTGGCAAGTCTGGCAACTGTCAGAACATAAAAGAATAAAAGAACACGATAAAAATTTTAAAAAATTGCATCAAGAAAACAGAAACCACGAGCACACAAAGCAACACAAAACACAAAAACTTTAACTGCTATAAAAAAAAATCGCTGCTGATTGGATGGTTGGAGGCGGTGGAAGCTGATGACAGCTGGATCAGCTGTCAGTTGGTAGAGTTAATGTCATTAATGTCAATGTTCAATTTTTGATTTGTTAATTTAGTTTCCAATTTGTTGTTGTGTTTTGTTATTAGCTGTTGTAATTTGCATTTCAAGGCCACCATACAAAACACTTTATATGGTCTTTTATTGGCAATTCTTTAAATAGCATCTTTTCCCTTTTCCCATGATTCCCTCTCAGATCAGTTACAGTAATGCAGGGCCGGCTCTAGCCCATTTGGTGCCCTAGGCGAGATTACCCCCCCCCCAAAAAAAAACCACATATAAATTTGAAAACGGTGAAAATGACCGTTGCTTTTAAAAAAAGATGACATAATGTT